ACACATACAATGGATAGTATAAGGAGCGTTTAGTAAAGAAGCTTAGTTATATATGTTCGTTTGTCATCTCCATAGAATACTTATATATTCACAATTACATTCCTCACAAAAATATAGTTAATTAATCAAAGTTAACCTGCATCTACCATTTATATCATCCAAAGGTGCATTTACAAACGAATATATACTTTTCGAACGCAGAGAAAGTACCATACTTGATAGTCCAATATAACCCAATAACTTGAAAAAATAAATATTTAACAATAGTGAAATTAATGTGTAGAGAGTAAGATTAATTATATTGGTGGCATGCATAGGATTCCCCTAAAAATCCTCTTTTACGAGAGCGTGACTTTGCATAAAAAAGATAAGTGGAGAAAATTTCATAACATCTTACCACCTTAAAAAAGGTCAATATATATCGATCTACACCAATGTGTAAGGAATCCCAAGCACATAAACCCTAGCTAAAAAGTTGAAATTAGGGTTTGCACGAAATCTAAAATCCAATTTAATTTGATTCCCCCACACACACGTGGGGTCTTTCTTTATTACTTACTTTGTCTCTTTATGGTGGGATTAATTATGCTTTCATTTTACAACGATGCAGTTTCTAGATTTTCAAGGATGAAGAAAAATCGAAATTAAATGTCGTTAATTATTAAAAAATACAACATATTGTATATTTTCTTGTCTGATATAATGACATATATACACATATATATGGGAATGAGAATATAATAATTTAATTAATTGGGAGCAAATATAATGGAGACAACATAATAGTAATTGAGATATTTAAAAACACACAGAAAGTGGATTTGTACTATGGTCCATTTATTAGTTTGTATTATGGTAAAATTCCTTTCACTTTCCGGCATACACAATATTATTTTGTCAAATACTTATGAGAGAGAGAGAGAGAGAGAGAGAGAGAGAGAGAGAGAGAGAGAGAGAGAGAGAGAGAGAGAGAGAGAGAGAGAGAGAGAGAGGAGCGTAAGTGAAATATGCATGGGGTCCCATAATGGGGATCAAAAGTGAAATAGCACTTTCCTGATTTGTTGTTTTGACAAGGTTTTTATTATTCCCACGAACAACAACAAAAATGAAATACCCACTTATTATTACACATTTCACCAACTTTTCTTTGCTTTTCCCAAAGTGTTGAATTATATTACATTCAATCCTAACTCCTAATTAATCGGGCAAAATTATTATTGATTTTACGTGTCTTAATTTTAGTATTTTTAATTGAATTTCCCAAAAAAAAAAAAAAAAAAAAAAAAAAAACTTTGATCATCGATCTAACTTCATATTATTTCGCATAGATAGCGCATCCCT